GTAGACACGAACGCTGCTACCCTTACTCTCACGTTTCCCATGGATGCTTTTTCTCCAGCACACCCCCTCAAACCCCGAGTCGGTAGCTCTGGCACTACATCCACTTGTGCTCCCAGGCAGAGAGTTTAGCCAGGAGCTGGGACTGTTGTTGAACACCCTGGCCTTCCCGGGGTACGGTTTCCCGGAGGAATCCCGTCTATGCGTTGCTCTGCATTGGTTGAGCAGCTCTGCTCGCTCCTTTGTGGTTTGTTTTTAGGTTGTGTTTTGTTTATTGCTTCGGGGTTTTCAAATCCTCCCCCTTAACTTTCGGGGAGTTTCTGAAAATCCTGCTGTTTTCACCAGCCTTGGCATCGGCTCAGGCAGCGCAGGTGGGTTCTGAAAGCTGTTGCCAGCCTGCGAGCGGCGCCTCGTGTGAGACGGAGCCGTCTGGCTCCAGCTCCCCGCGGAGACAAGCAGCGTGACTCACCCGGAGCCCGGAAAGCGCTGGGCAGAGCAGCAGCTCTCCACGGGGAGAGGCTTTTTATCCTGAAATCCGGGGCAGCCGTGGGGTGAGACCTGCCGGTGGAACACAGACCCGCTCGCAGCATCTCTGCCCGCCTCCTCACCCCTGCTAAAAAGCCGCGTGAGCCCATGGGTCACTTCAGCCCCGCGTGAAAGGGGTAAAGCTTCAGCGACAGCCAAACACCGTAGCAATTCGGGAGCAGAGGAGGGTGCAGGAGGCAGCCGTTGCGCGTTCCTCGCTGCGGAATGTCCCTCACTTGCTCACAGGCAAGCGGGGCTCGTCGGCACAGTGTGGGTAGTGGGCCGGCGGTGCGGGAAACGCCTCGTACCTCTGCCCTGTGCAGAGCTGGAGCTGGTGCTGGGCTGCTGGCGGTGACATCCTCTGCTTTGCAGGTACGGCTGGTTCCCAACGTGCTGCAGAGCCCGCCTGAGCGGGTACCAGGGCAAACAAGAGCAGCTAAACCCTTGATGTAGGAAAACCCCTTTCTCGAGGGCACACACCCCTTAGCCGCGGTCCTCACCTTTTCAAGCACGAACACACGACTGCAAGGAGAAATCAGCGGACAAAAACAAGGATGAATTTTCAGGATGTGTATTTATTTCAAGAAATGGGAAAAAATCTGCTGTGCTTTGGCATCTCAAACATTCTCTACCGTTCGTATACGTGTATTAAAACGGGTGTTTTCGGTCAAATTCTCCTTCCACAGCATGGGCATCTTGGGTTTCAGCGGCAGGTCGGCAGTCGGCTGTGCTTGTCCCGGGCACGCTGTGCCTCGACCAGCAACAGAGTCAAAATTACTTGAGCTCTTTCCAGGAGATCCTTACTTTCTGTGCCTGTGTACTGTGCTCTATGGGTTTGCCACAGTATTTTTGAGCTTAATCGGTTGGAATTTGCAAAGTGAGTGTGTCTGGCCGCCTTTGTTTCTCCCAGCACTTCTCTCACAAGCCCCCTGCTATGTGACGGGGACAAGCCACCGTTCATACGTGGCCTTTCATCCCTGTATGGAGGGAAGTCGCGTGCTGTCCAGGTGCTTCCAGCATCGCTCCTGCTCTTCCCTCTCTCGCCCTTGCGTTTCTCCGGTGTCAGTTGTCCGTTATGGCGTTGTACGTGACTGCTGAGTCCAGCAATCTCCTTAAACACCCTTTGGTTGGGGTGGGTGGTGTGCTCTAACAGGTTCTCTCCGTTCTTTCAGATTTTGGGTTCAGCAACATCTTCACACCCGGTCAGCTGCTGAAAACCTGGTGTGGGAGCCCTCCCTATGCTGCTCCCGAGCTCTTCGAGGGAAAGGAATACGATGGGCCCAAGGTTGATATTTGGGTATGCGATCAACCTCTTCCTCTTACCTTCATCGCGCCTTGCTCGGTTTGGCTTTGCTTCCTGAACGCTCAGTACGTGTCCCGGGGAAAAGCTCCTGAGATGGCAAAAAAAAGGGTTTTGAACAGCAAGTTTTGCCCAATGAGGGTTTTGGGGGAGCACGTTAGCGCGGACGCTTGGGGCGGGCTCCTGCCAAGCCATCCCAGCAGTGTTCTCCAACCATAGGAGCCTCCAAAGGAGGCCTAAACTGGGCTTGGGGCTCGAAGGAGGCGTTCAGCTGTCCTGGTATTGGGATGCCAACAAGGCTTGTTCCAATGGGATTCGCTTTCCCTTTATTATGGTTCTGTTGTATTCAAACTTCTTTTTCGGTGCTCGCCCGCGGTCCCTGCTCCCTCCCTGTAACCCCTCTAACGCCCCCTCTGTTTGGGTGGCAGAGCCTCGGCGTGGTGCTGTACGTGCTGGTGTGCGGCGCTCTGCCCTTCGACGGGAGCACGCTGCAGAACCTGCGCGCCCGGGTGCTCAGCGGGAAGTTCCGCATTCCCTTCTTCATGTCCACAGGTAAGGCCGAGCGGGCCCTGGTCGCGTCTCCGCTGCCGCGCGCTGTGCAGCACTTAAATTGGAGTGTGCCGCTGAATATGCCAGGCTGCTTCTCCGCCGGGTGGTGGTTGGTAACGCGCGGTAAATCGAGTTCTCAGTCTGGAATTCAGAAACGGGAATACTCCCGTTTAAAATCTCAGCTTTCGTGTACACAACTACGCAAACCGTAGCAACGTTCTAGCAGAGATACCCCCTTCCTACGTTGTGGGAACTGTGAAAGCTAAAAATGGAGTAGTGATTGAGGAACACAGGGACTTTCCTGTGCCTCTTGTAGGCCAGAAGCTTTCTACAGCATTGTGGGACATGAATTTCCAGCAGTAACCCCATCAGAGATGAAGGTCTGAGACCTGTTCCTGCACAAATGCTTCTGAATGCTGCAATAATAACTTCTGCCTGTGAAAAGTGGGAATAATGCTCCAATAAAACCAACTCCACTTAAAGAGGAGTCACTCTTAGGTTCTTGGTTGCCTGCTGTCAGGTTATGGATTAGTTTTGCACGGGTTGTGTGGAGTTTCCCAGGGGAAAGCTTCCCTGGGGGATGTCACTCTGGGGCCAGGGTGACAGCGTGATGCTGAGGAGCTCTACCCAACAGCGTGGGTGACAGGGCCTGCCCGCCTTCCTAGCCGGGGAAAGCGGATGACCGTGGGCAAGGGGCGCATCGGGGCTCGCCTGCCTGCCGCAGGAGCTGTGTCCGTCCCTGCGGGGTACTCAGCCTCTCTTCCCTTGCAGAATGTGAACACCTGATCCGCCACATGCTGGTCTTGGACCCCAGCAAGCGGCTCTCCATGGAGCAGATCTGCAAACACAAGTGGATGAAGCTCGGGGAGGCTGATGCCGAGTTCGACAGGGTGAGAAGCAGGAGCGAGCTGGGGGACGCGGGACCTGCTCGGTGCCTGCCGGGCTGCACGTGGGCTCGGGGCCGTAGCGCTGCAGTGGGCATTTCCCGTGGGGGTGTGCCTTTCCTGCCGCCAGTGTCTCCTGCTCTTGTTTTCCCCATTGCTCCTCACCTGTGGGCATCTGCATCCTTCCCCTTGGTGCCGAGAGCCGCGGGCACTGGGGGTTGGCTCAGTGCGCCATCAGCCTTCGGCGCTCGTGCCAGGTTGTGGAGCCTGGTGCGTGGGTCCTGGAGCGCTGAGCCCTGTCAGCATGGCGTTGGGAACGTGGGCGCTGAAGCTGGTCTCTGTTCTCGCAGCTGATAGCAGAGTGCCAGCACCTCAAGACGGAGAGGCAGATGGAGCCGCTGAACGAGGACGTGTTGCTGGCCATGGCGGACATGGGGCTGGACAAGGAGCGTACCATTCA